ATGGATATACAAATGAAATGGCTGATGTCTTAATAATTAAAAGGGATATACAAATAACAAACTAGAAGAATGACTGGGGAAAAGTTCTTATTTTGGGTTTACAAAAGAGATTTGTTAAAGTTTCAAAGGATTTTCAGAGAAGAGACAAAAAGAAAATGAAAAGAAATCAAGCTCTGAGACATTATTTAAAGTGTTTAAAAATCAAGATTGTTAATACCAAATGGAAAAAAATACAAAGTTGGTTTATTTGATCCAGGTTAAAATATTTCTGGTAACCCAACCTTTAATGACTTTTTGCTGACTAGGACTGAATGACAAAGCTCTAAAGATCTGGAAAACATATTTTTGGTTGTATTTTTAGAATAAGCAATAAATTACTATGTTAAAGTAAAGGGGAGGAATATATATAAAGGGGAGAATATATATTTTATTTAAGGTTAAAATATATATGTTGTTTTTTGTTAGCCTTTAATGAACTGTTGCTGATTAAGAATGTCAAGTTTTAAGAATTTGTTTATAGAAAAGAGATGAGATGCACAAAGAAATGATTGTTGTATTCTCAGAGAAGGTGATAAGTTATTGAAACAATTTCAATAACTTATCACCTTCTCTGAGAATACAACAATGTATATATTATTTACTACATTATTTTTTCTTCTTTTCTATTTCTTTTTATGTTTCCTTTTCTGCACTTTCTATCCCTGTTTTCATTCTTTTCTACTTTTTTAGTTTGCCTTAGTTCCAGAATATAGAATACTTTCTAAATACTTTGGTCTACAATTGGCATACAGCTAAAAGAGAAAGACTTCAGAACATTTAACAAAAAAAATCATACTACTTACCAACTATTGCTAGATTGTGCTCCGAACCACATGCAATCTGCAAAACAAATGATAATAGAATAGTAAATTGAAATACTAAACAAGAGAATGCATCCCGAATGCACAATTTTAGAATATTATGCATTTTATATTATACATTTATGATAAAAAATAAACTTGGTATTGAAAGTCATACTGCCTCTCATCTTAGTAATGATATATAGCAATTATAGCACAGGTAATCTAATCCTTTTTGCAAAGAAGTCCAATCTCAGGGGCAATAGCATACAATGTATAAAGGAATATTTTCTTTTATCTCTCTACAAAGTTGCAACCAAGGAAGTTTGCAGGAAAGTGCTTCATAGTGATTACAGACAGATAAATAGACAGATATATCTTCATATATTTTAAATATATGCCTTTATATATACATTGCTTAAACTTATTTATCAATTTTTATACCACAATAATTATATATTAGATTCTTGATAATTAACATTAACTAACTGTAATACATAACTATTTTAAATATGACAAAATTGATAAATTGCAAAAACCAACCACATTAAGACACCTACTCTGCCATTCCCATAAACTTTCTAAAACAATTCTGTCTTTACCAACTTCATCTACTTCCCTCATCTTTATTTATTTATTTATTTATTTATTTATTTATTTATTTATTTATTTATTATTTAAATTTATATCCCGCCCTTCTCCTTGCGGACTCAGGGCGGCTGACAATCGATTAAAAAACACCAACAACAATCACAGAATTAAAATTAATTAAAAAGAGATATTTAAATATTGTCTAATTTAAAATATAATTAAAACCCCTCTAAAAATTACCCTAGGCCAGTCCTGCTTGTT